TATATCTTGATAGGTATGCATTTTCTGATAAAGGAGCAAATAAATCTGAGTGGCTTGGCTTAGTGCCGAAATAATTCTTCCATACCTGCATACTCACACCATAAAACATCAACACAGAAACCACCTATGTAATGTTAACATTACTAGGATATATGCCAAGAAAAATGCTGTAAGAATACCAAGGCTGTCACAAGTACTGTGGAGATTAATGATTCTATCACTAAATTATTTTATTTCCATGATAACCAAACAATAAGGATTCATTTTAGTATCCAAACATCATTCTTTGCCTCATAGTTTATTTAAAAGCACAACTACCTTTATAAAAAATACATATATTAGAATTTTACTTCATTAAATCAGAATGTTTATCTTATTGAATCAATCAATCAAGGATCAAACGTAGCAAGTGTTGATTATCTAAAAATGTACTTTGTATTTTAAGGTTATAAAACTTAAGATAAAATTCCTATTTTATGTGATAAATATGATAGCAAAATTGATAAATACCAGCATTCTTTATCTCAACAAGATGTTCATTTCTAATAAAACATATGCCTTTTTAATACACATTTTAGTTAAGTGATGTCACAAGAGTCAATTTTCTGTATGTCACTAATGGTTTACATGTTGGAATAATTTAAGGAAATATCATATGAAAGTAATAGATCATAGCTTCTTACTTTAAAATTAATAATAATAATAGTCTACTATGTATCATAGTATGCACATTTCATTACTTTTAGTTCTTTTATCAACTGAGTAAGTTTGGAAATGATCATTCATAATTTTACAGATACTGCAAATGGAGCTTAAATGGGGTAAATAATTCGTATAAGGTTTACAGAGTAGAAAAGAGCTACATTTTAAGCCCATGGCCTGATTCAAAAAACCATGCTCTTTTCCCCCATTTCAGTGCTCTCCTCCATAAAAGGCCATGTATATGTAAGAAGGGTAAACCAAAAACCCAAACCCACTGTCACTGAGTCAATTCAGACTCATAGCAACCCTATAGGACAGTGTCGAATTACTCCATAGAGTTTCCAAGGCTGGCGATCTTTATGGATGCAGGGTATGAGGTTTAAAGATAAAATAAGTGAAAACCACAAGTAGAATTAAATATACATAATATAGTATCTTCAGTGCTCTTACTTGAGAAAGGTTAAAAGCGAAGAATGTTGCAAATGAAGTTGCGTCAGTCGTTCAGTGTTATCTACAGGTAATGATTGGCTTAA